TAGTAAGCAGCAACTAATTTTTATTATGGAACCGAAAGACCCTTTTAAAAAGGTTCAAAATTAAAATAAAATATGTACCAAGTAAATGTAGTAGTATTTTTTAATTTTTTAATTTTTTAATTTATATTGAAAATGGTAACATGAAAGGTTTTCTGTCTAACGACTCATAGTCTCGGCTGACAAAATGTAAAAAAATATCGAACATAATATTCCTGGGCCCTATTTTGCACTCCCCAGATTAAATTTAGTTGTAGCAAATGATATTATCAAATAAGATGTCAAATCACAAGCAAAATCTCGTGACTACAGTACTAATGATTGCCTGTTTGGAAAAGTATCTTTGTTTGTAAATATTTATATGCATAGTTATATTTAAATGCGCGAGTGTAATGTTAAGTATAAACAAAATCCGCCCATTATGTATATACGTTTAGTTACCGACCCTAGTAGATAGGCAATTTGTTATTGTTTTAAGTTTTACCGTAGGGAGAGAGAAAATCAATATTAGGATAAATGGTCCAGCTCCTTTCTGGTTACGTAGGTAGGTACCTAAAAAGTATTTTAGTTTTTGGTTAAGTAATTAATTATTGTAACAGTGATTTTCTTGTGATAGTACCTAATTTAGATTGTGGATTAAAGTTTTTGTATATAATTTCGCTGTTTAATAATAAACGTAGTCAAAACCGGAGCACGTGGTTTTTCTGGAAAGTATTTTTAAAATCACAAGCAAAATCTCATGACTACTGTACTAATGATTGCCGAAAATTAACTAATTCATATTTTATGCCATATCTTTCTTAATAAGGACTGTCAGAACCATATTTACCTTAACTTGAAATTTTTTTAATCGTTTTTTGTATAGAATCATCTCTAAAAATGTATGATTGAAATATCGTGCGAACTATTTGTTCGATCAATAAAAAACTTGCACCGGTCCTGTTCGCGCCAGCACCGTTATACGCATGAGCTCCGACACACTATTTTCTCCTTATGGTTTCATTTTTGATATATGGAATCTGCTTTCTATACTATTTCTATGGTCTGTAGGTACTAAACTAAAGTAAAGATTTATATAATTGTGGTATTGTTAAGATATTATCAGCTTGTTTTAAAGATATGGTGCATATTTCAAAATAATTTAATATAAAAGTGTTAATAAATGTAATTTTCTCCTGTTAGCCATTAATAACCAATGGCGCGAACAATCTAAAATGGCGTATATCTCGTATTTTTCACAACAAATTGCGTGTGATAGCATTTCTTCTTAAGATGACCATCATGTTCGCTTAAGACAGACCAAAAAAAAAAACTGAATAGAAACCGAACTAGGGTCGAGTGTTTAAAAGCAATTCTATGAATTCCAAGCGACAATGGATGAGATGCGGATTCACCACTGCACTTCAAAACGAAAAACGTAATCAAAGCAGCGGACCGAACACGAAAAATCCATTCTGGAAAGAAGGCGATGACCTTTAAATCGGCTGGAGATGTGATGACGTCATCCTTTTGGATTGCAAAGAAAATTTCGCCGATAAATTAAGTGGAAAATGGAAAAATTACGAAGATTGTTCGAATTCTACGTAATCTACCATAAAAATGACGAGGACTCCGAAAAATCTATTTTACCATTTTGTAGAATCATCTCTTAATAGGTGAGAATTGTTAAATTTCCGAAAATATTAAATTGAGGATGGGATCTATTAATTAGAGGTACAGGAAACATTTTTGGAAATTACTTATTTCTTATTTTTATGGACTGTATTTGTTTGTAAATTAATTTACCTCTTTTCTTCATTTGACTTTTAGAAACAAGCCAAAGCCATATAGTCCATACGATTGATATCATCTTGTGTTTTTGAGAGGTTCCTGATATATTTTTGTGGCATTATGTTGTCCGGGGGAGGGGGGGGTGTCTGTAAAAGGTCTTTACAAAAACATACCACATATTCCTTAGACCAAAATAAGTCGATTTAAGTAAAATTACCTTAGTACAAAGTTGCTTCGTTTGGGCTCCAGAGGGCCTTGAAGTTACAATTTTTAAATCGATTTTCCCATATAAATTTAAAACGGCATATACGATTTTGCTGAAATTTGGTATATTGGTAGAGTTTTATGTGGCAAAAAAATGGTATTAAAATTTTGTCCGATAATAATACACATTCGTAGAACTTGATTTTTTAAATAATTGCACCTTTAAAAATTCTACGCCAATGGAAGAAAAGTAGTGTTTGAGTATGAAGTTTAGATTGCGCAACTCATTTACTTTAAAAAAGGTACTCTTGATAAGACTCGATTACTCTCATGGTTTTCGCTAAATTTCTGTTTTAATAATTTAGAGTGTATAGGTTTTACAAACATATTTATTTACAACATAATCAAAATAGAGATTTTACAAAAATTGTTCAAAATGTTCACCATTTTTACGCATACAAAGATTTATACATCGAAGAAAATTAAAATGTATCCTTTCCATAACTTCTTCATCACCTCTAAGATTGTTTATTGCATCTTGAATACGTTGCCAGAGTTGTTCCTCATTTTCTACAGGTTCCCTGTAAACTGTGGATTTCAGATGTCCCCATAAAAAGTAATCCATCGGTGTTAGGTCTGGGGAACGTGGTGGCCAGTTTACAGGTGCGTCATTACCTCTGCCTATCCATTTGTGTGGATATTGTTCATTCAAGTGGTTTCTAACGTTTAAAGAAAAATGTGGTGGAGCTCCATCTTGCATAAACCACATATCTCTCCGAAGTTGGAGAGGTAAATCTTCTAACAATTCTGGCAACGTATTTTGTAGAAAATCCAAATAATTTTCTCCAGTTAATCTTCGTGGAAGTATGACAGGACCAACAATGAAATTACCAATTATTCCAGCCCACACATTAATTTTGAATTGGTGCTGAAATTGGTTTACCTCTATTGCATGCGGATTTTCAACGGCATAAACATGTTCATTATGGGTATTAGTTATACCTCTTCTTGTAAAACCCGCTTCATCGGTAAAGAGAACATTCTTGACAAAGTTTGGATCTATTTCTCTTTGCATATTAACAAATCGACAAAAACTCAAACGAATTTGAGGATCATGGACTAATAATTCTTGTACTGACTTCTTATGGTATGGATATAGCAATTGTTCTTTAAGCACTTTGTGAACGACATCTTTACTTACTCCTAGTTCCCTTCCAATTCGTCTGGTGCTTAATTCTGGATATTCTTCAACACGTTCTAAAATGTCTTCTTCAACTTCAGGAATCCTTACAAAACGTTCTCTTCCATTATCAACAGTGTTGGGAGCAAAGGAACCGGTTTCCCGAAGAAGTCTCTCAACAGTAGCAAAAGTTGGGTGGCTAGGTACACGGCGATTTGGAAACCTTTCAGAGTACACCCTGACACTCTCTCGTGCATTTCCTTCACAAAATCTTAATGTCAGTACCATATCGGTATATTCTGCATTGGTATATTGTACAGCCATATTAATAATCCACGCATTTGTTTTTTTAATTATTGAGTCAGATAGAACACTTTTAATCGTTAACAAGAAATTAGGTGTTAAAACTTGACAATATTTTTATTTAGATGAAACTATGGAAACCAACAATAAATGTTTTTGTATACGTATTGCAGGCAAATAATTAATATTCCTCAAAAAATCGTACATGGCAAGAATCGAGTATTTTTGTTAAAAGTCTCGATTAGAGGTGTTGAAGAAGATATGAAAAAAGTACATTTTTATGTTTTTCATCGTATAAAATTTTGTCCGATAAGAATACATAGACGTAGAACTTGAATTTTTAAATATTTGCACCTTTAAAAATTCTACGCCAATGGCAGAAAAAGGGTTTGAGTATGAAATTTGGATTGGGTACTCATTTACTACAAAAAGTACCCTTGATAACACTCGATTTACTCTCATGGTTTTGACAAAGTTTGTATTTTAATAATTATTGTTTATGTTCTAAAATTACTAAAATGCAAATTTCGTCTAAACCATGAGAGTAATCGAGCCTTATCAAGAGTACCTTTTTTAAAGTAAATGAGTTGCGCAATCTAAATTTCATACTCAAACTCCTTTTCTTCCATTGGCGTAGCATTTTTAAAGGTGCAATTATTTAAAAAATCAAGTTCTACGCCTATGTATTATTATCGGACAAAATTTTAATACCATTTTTTTTGCCACATAAAACTCTACCAATATACCAAATTTCAGCAAAATCGCATATGCCGTTTTAAATTTATATGGGAAAAACGATTTAAAAATTGTAACTTCAAGGCCCTCTGGAGCCCAAACGAAGCAACTTTGTACTAAGGTAATTTTACTTAAATCGACTTATTTTGGTCTAAGGAATATGTGGTATGTTTTTGTAAAGACCTTTTACAGACACCCTGTGTTTATTCTTGGCTCTGTGGACTGTATCAACCTTTTACTGGTAATAATTATTCTTCCATTTTTGTTTCATAACACTTTATTTGCTTTAAATACATCAAAAAACAATTTACAATTGCCTTTGCATACAAAACGTGTTTCGCTAGAGAGAGACTTTTTCGTTTTCACAGATCACCGCTGGTAACAATTTTTTATTCGCGCATTCGCCGGGAAATAGCGGCAATATTTAAAATTGGAAATGGCTACTGAGCCGAGAGGCGTATTAACATTAAACACCCTGTATATTGAAGATCTTTTGGTTACCAGGCCCAAAAATGGCCAGTTTAGTTTTTATACAGGGTGGTGATATGGTTAAGACTCTATATATTCATATAACAGAGTGTTCCACATACTTTTATTTACTTAATATATCAGTTTTTTTTGTATTTTGTCACTTTTCAATGAAGCTTAGAATATGTATAATAGTTGTTTAGATTATACAGGGAGGTCCAAAATATCAGCATGCAACAAAAAAGTTAGAGGTAGAAAAATACGAATATATTTCGAATCTTTTAAAACATAAAATTTTGACATATTATCGGGTTTATTGCACTGGTTTGTCTGACAGTTACAGGAGCAACACGCTAACCCAGCGATTCTACAACCACAACTGTTTTCTCAAGAACATCTTGAACTATTACATCAACATCTTAAAGAGAAATTGGAAAACATTGAAAGAAATCAAAAACGTAACAATATAATAATTTTCGGATTAAACAAACCAAAATTTGAAAGAAGTGTGGCCTTCATATGTGAGGAAATAAAACGATTACTCCAAATAGATTTATTTGAACAGGATATCTCTAACTTATATTCGTTAGGGAATTCAGACACCTCTCCATTAAAATTAGAATTAATCTCGTCACTAAAAAAGAAACAAATATTTCAAAACTGCAACAAATTAAAATCAACTAATATAAAAATTGTACAGGATCTCACAGAAATACAACGAGAGGAAATAAAAATCTTAACGAATTATTTAAAAGAGGCCCGCAGAAACGCCAACGAAAGAAGCTATATAAAGGGAGGAAAATTATACGTTGGAAATAAATCCTATACAGCAGAAGAACTACAGAATTCTATACTTCCAAAAGAACAAAGCCAATCACTTTGTGCACCATCCACTCCTTCAAATAATTCAAATAATACGGAAACTAATTTAGAGGACCTCAACAATAGAGACCGTGATACAACAAACATTCAAACAGAAGATAAACCGGATGAAAAAAATACGACAACTCCAAAAAGTAAGAATCAGAAACCCAAACCCACTCTGCCAAAAAATCCTATTCCAAAGAACCAATTTGAAAAAAGGACAAGATCTGGATCAAATTCTAAACAAATCTAAATTAATTTTTACTAATATAAAGCAAATACCCTTTATGAAACTGCTCCTTGACTAAAGTAAATCTAAGAATTTTGGTTAACTGTTTATTACATTTTTTTTATTATTTTTAAACTAGGTATAAAATTAGTATAATTAACAAAATCAGATATGGATCAATATATACATGATTTCAAACTAGATCCTGTAAAAACTTACACCTTAGATACAGAAATTGAATGTAAAGAAATTTTAAAGGTCAACAAACTAAATAACAATTTTAAAATAATACATAATAATATACGGAGTGTGCACAAAAATATAGATGAATTCAAAATATTTTTAAAAAACATTGATGAAGAATTTGATTGTATTGTTTTTACAGAAACTAGAATATTATCAGACTGCACTTTATATAACCTACCGGGTTACAATATGATCTATAACGAAGGAGATTATAATCAAAATGATGGAGTATTGATGTACCTAAAGAGTAAATATGATTATGAATATGAAATTGTACAATTAGGTAACATTAAAATTCTTAAAACTAAAGTTAATCTAATCGAAAAGAACATAGTAATAAGTGCACTCTACAGATCACCAGCTTCCAATATAAAGGAGTTTAATCAAATATTGCAAAACTACTTAGAAAACAATCAAACAGAATCTGAACATTTTTATTTGTTTATAGGTGATATAAATATTAATATCCTTGAATCAGATGACAACTGTATTGAATATTTAAATATTCTTAGTGAATTCGGTTATATCTCTACAATTAACGAACCTACCAGACTTGATAATTGCCTAGACCACATTTTTATAAAATCTAAAACTTCTATTTCAGATATGATTATTCCGATTATAGTAAAAAGCAATGTAACAGATCATTTTACAACAATACTTCAAATTGTCTTACATGAGAACATAAAAATTCCTTCAGAAGTTATGGTCAAAAAATTTTTAAATGTTAAAAAATTAATACAAAATGTTTCTCAAATCAGCTGGCAGTCTGTGTACACAGTGACTGATCCAAATACTGCAATAAACATATTCATTAAAATATTTTCTGAAAACATTAACAAATCTTTAGAAATAAAAAAATGTACAAGAAAAAATTCTAAACTTGCGCCATGGATTACAAATGGCTTGCTAACATCTATAAATAAAAAGAGTGATTTGTTTAAAAAAACTATAAAGTTTCCTAATAACGAACCAATAAAAAAAGAGTACAAATTATATAGAAATAAACTTACAAATATCTTAAATAAAACAAAAGCTAATTACTACAAACAACAGATAGAAAGAAATGCAAATAATTCAAAACACCTATGGGACGTTGTAAAAAATCTAAGTAAATCTAATAACAAAGAAAGTACCATCAAACAAATAAAAAAAGAAAATGGAGATTTACTTACTGATTCTGTTGAAATCGCTAACGAATTCAATAGGAGATTTACGGAAATGGGGAAAAATCTTGCTGAAAAAATAAAACGGGACCCAAATTTTAAATTACGGGAGAACAGAATACCTTCTAGTATAAGTTTATTTCCTACTTCACCAACAGAACTCAAAGTTATAATACACGAACTAAAAGATAAGAAATCTACAGGTATAGATGATATTCGTTCAGAAACTATAAAAACAGTGGCCGATTTTATAGTGGCTCCGCTTGCCTACATCGTAAATCTCTGCTTAGAGAATGGAAGTTGGCCTGATTCATTCAAAAAAACAATTGTTATTCCAATTTATAAAAAAGGAGATAAAACTGTAGTCACGAATTATCGTCCAATATCCCTTATTACCAACTTGTCAAAGATTTTTGAAAAATTACTAAAAAAACGGTTATTATCATACATAGACAAACATGATCTAATTTCAAGTAGGCAATATGGTTTTAAAGTAAACACGTCCACTGAAGATGCAGTATTAGCTCTTACAAATAAAGTACACCACGCGCTAGAGAAAGGAAACCCTTGTCTATGTATTTTCATTGATTTTGCGAAGGCCTTTGACACGGTAAGCCATCAGCAACTCCTGGATACTCTTGAATCCATTAGTCTTAGAGGAAAATGTTTACTTTTGTTAGAAAGCTATTTAAATAATAGATATCAAGCAGTAAAAGTTAATGGTACAACAAGTAATACAAAACCTATCGACTATGGGGTACCACAAGGTACGGTTCTAGGGCCGATCCTCTTTAACTTGTACATAAATAGTATATTTAGTCTTAATACAACAGGAGATATACTGGGTTATGCTGATGACACAGCGGTTTTTTATAAGGCTGATACCTGGATCGAATTAAAACATAAAGCAGAAAAGGATTTTCTATATCTGATCAAATGGTTTAACTATAAGCTACTTACCATAAATATGGATAAAACACATTTTCTACCCTTTAGCTGCACCAACACGAATATCTGCCCCTATCAGCAACTTAGAATTAACAAAAATGATACTTCCTTCAAAGTTAATGCTATAAAAAATACTAAATATCTAGGAGTGATTATTGATACTCATCTTAAATGGGATATTCATATAAAATTTGTAATAAAAAAATTACAATCAATTTTATATAAATTTAAGTACCTGAATAAATACCTCCCATTAAAAGCAATGAAAATACTATATTTTGCATTGGTTGAAAGTCATCTGCGGTATGGAATAGTGGTCTGGGGAAGTGCACTTAGAGTACACATTAATCCACTTGAAATTATACAAAAACGATTTTTGAAATTAATTTTATCCAAAAATAGAAGTTACTCTTCTGACATGTTATTCAAAGAAAGTCACATTTTGGATCTACGCCAGCTATTTTACCTAGTAGTGAATACAAAATTTCATTTCTCTACCGATAAATATACCTTACTACATACCTACAACACAAGACAGAGAAATAACACAATTCCACCCACTGTAAAAAAATCTTTATCACAACGATCATATTCATACTTGTCAAATAAAATTTATAATTATGTTCCTTCTCATTTAAAAAATATAAAAAACAAAACTAGTTTTAAGAAGAAATTAAAATTTCGCTTAGTACAATCGGATAGAAAAATAATATCCGAACTCATAGAAAAAAATTAAAAAAAAAATTAAATAAATAAGAATGTAGAACTTAAAAAAAAAAAAAAAAACTTAGGTACACAAACTAGTGTCACGATTTTGAAATATACTCTTCTTCTAAGATCCTTATTGTTTACCCCAATACTTACTCTGTTAACTTTATATGCCATTATTTATATTAGAGTTTTAGAATTTTACCATAGTATTAAGAAATGTATTTATATTTTATTATGTATGTATTATGTATTATGTATTTCTGTCGAAACAAGTAAATTTTTTACTTATCGACTCAACCACTTTATTTATTATGATTTATATGTTTAATTATTAGTATCTTGTATTTTATATGTTATTTATGATAATTAAAGTTTTTTATTATTATTATTATTTATTATTATTACAGCTGGGTACAAACAAGCTCTTTGGTTGGAGCAAAAAGATTTTTTACACGATTGGGCGCCAGGTAACCAAATTGAAGGGGATCGAGAAGATTTGGTGTTTTCTCCAAACAGTGATTTTGAATATATACAATATAAAAAGCTGTTAGAATATGGAATCTTACGTTTGAAGTTGTTGGTACCATTTTTTCTAACCACTTCTTTTGGTGATGATACATCCAATACCTCAGCTCATTAAACGTTTTGCATGAAGTCTTTTTTCGTAATACTTTTACAAAATATTCCTCTGAATCTCTAACAGACTTATCAATTTCGGTATTCGACAAACCTAAAAAAGTTAGAGGTATATCGCGACAATATGAACCTTTTTTTATGAAATTTTTTATTCTCTTGTATACACGAGCATATAAATCTGTTCTTTTATATTCTACAATCAGATCCATTTATAATAATTTAAACAGCTATAAAAAAAAATCAGAAGCAAGTCCATTATCCGAGATTAATCAAACGCCGACGACGCAACGATTAATTTTCTGTTTATTCTTCAGATGGCATACAACAAAGCGAATTTTGTGTTAATTGTCGTGCCTTGTACAACATTCCTGTGTAACAAACACAACGCCCATACGTATAATAAATTTCGTCCACGCGCGCCTACACGCTGACAGACAGACATGGAATATGTCTGCTCGCTCGTTTTCTATTCCGTTTTATCTCGTTCGGTCGCGGGGTCGAAAAGCCACATATTCTTTGTATTAAATTACCTTAGATTGTTATTCTAGTTTCTTGGTTTCAAGAGGAGATATAAAAATCTGATGTGTCCAACACATGACTTTCCTATCTAGTTATTATAGGCTTTTTCCGGTTATTTTGTACAACCTATTGCAGCATCTCTATAAATGTTTAGAGGATAAACTAAATATATACATTTTCCACATACATTTACATCGAAACATTTTTCTATAGATATTCATTGAAAATGAAAATACTGAAAAATTTAAATTTTGCACTTTTCCTACAATTTTTCCATTACGGTCCATTTTAGAAAAATCATGTATAAACAAAAATTATAGAGATTAATATCGCAAACAACTTTTATTTCAACAATTTTGATAAAAATCAGAATTTTGCCCATTTTGTCAAATTTCTCGAATACGGACCATTTCAGGAAATTTTGACAAAAAGCAAAAATTATAGATAATAATATTAGAAATAACGCTGCATAAACGTAGAAAAAAATAGAAGGGACTAATCGCTAATTAAGGTCAAATTACTTAATACAATAACAAAGTATGTAGAAAATTATTCCCCTTTTTGAATAAAAAAGTTTGTAGAAACATGTAAACGTAAGCTCACAAAGCGACGACGGCGACGATGAGGATCAAAATTATTTTAGATTTCTTGTAGATATCATGAAAAAAAAATGAAATTTTTTCACATTTGTCAAGATAAAAATTCTTTATATTATTTGTCTATTTTCACTTTAATCTTCTACTGTCTACATACAAATTACGATCGAAAAAGATTACGTAAAATATATTATAAATTATCCATCGTTAATATTGCCATATAAAGGTAAAAAATATTATGATGATAAAGAGTGAGTAATTTATAATTAATAACGCTGTATAAACGTAGAAAAAAATAGAAGGGACTAATCGCTAATTAAGGTCAAATTACTTAATACTTGAATAAAATTTTGAAAAAATATTGGCAAAAATACTAAAAAAGTTAGTAGAAAAGAAACGGAAAAAGTTAAGAGAACAATAACAAAGTATGTAGAAAATTATTCCCCTAACTTTTTGAATAAATATTTGTTCAATTATATCTTTCGAAACAGCTAAGTAAATGTACTTATGATTTGTTTTAAATCTTCTTTCTAATTAAAGTTAATAATTTTTTTATTTTGTTTTTATTTTGTTGTGTACTTTTTATTTTTTTACATTCAATTAGATCTTTCGATGTACTTATAATTTGTTGTAAATAAAGAACAGGCGGCTGCAAGCCGCATTTTTTTTCTCTATTAACTTTTCTACAAACTTTTTTAATTTTCTCCTAACTTTCATATTTTAAACTAATTATTTAGACATAACTATAATAACGTTCGTCTATTAGTTTCAATTACCTATTAATAATTTTATATTTAAAATCAGAATATTGCACATTTTGTCAAATTTCTCGAATACGGACCATTTCAGGAAATTTTGACAAAACACAAAAATTATAGATAATAATATTTGAAGTAACTTTTAATTGAACAATTTTCTTCTCCAAACATAAATAACAGATATATTCCATAAAATATAAAAACGGCCTTCTATAAAGTACCCCCCCAGATGTTCCGACTTTGTCCAAAATCTAATCATTTCACGTCAGGCCGAAATAAACCTTAAGTTTAAAATTTAATGTTTTTTTCTTTATCCGTTTTTGAGTTTTCTTCAAAATTCGAAATTTACACATTTTCTCAAATATCTCGAATACGGTCCATTTTAAAGAAATTATGTATAGAATAAAAATTATAGAGAATTATATTACAAACAACTTTTATTTGAACAATTTTTATAAAAAATTATTTTTTTACATTTTCTCAAATTTCTCGAATACGGACCATTTTAGGAAAATTTTGCATAAAACAAAAATTATAGATAATTATATTAGAAGTAACTTTTATTTGAAGAATTTTCTTCTCCAAACGTAAATAACAGATATATTCCATAAAATATAAAAATGACCACGTATAAAGTACCCCCCCAGATGTTCCGACTCTGCCCAAAATCTAATCAGCTCATTGGACGCTGAAACAAAGCTTAAGTTTAAAATTTGGTGTTTTTTTGTGTATCGGTTCATGAGTTATGCGTTATACAGACACACACACACACAGACACACACACACACACAGACAGACAGACATCATCGCGAAAATAGTCAAAACGGATTCAGGGGACCTCAAAACGTAAAAATCCGTCGAAAACTCGAGGTCGAAAAAAATCATGATTCCTATACTTTCCTTATATCTGTATACAGATAGGAAAGTAAAAATATTACATTTATTCAAAACGTATTGCAAGAATATCAAAAAAAACTACACGACACAATTATATTTAAAAAGTAAAGATCTTGTTATAATATTAGATAGAACAGTTCGTTTTTTAATTCGTCTACCAATCTGGGTTGATATTAAGAATATATTCATTAACATCAACAAGTTATCTTAATGTGTTCCGTCGAAATATACCATAAATAAAGTCTTAAGTTTGTTAAGGCATCGCTGTCGTCGTCATCTTTCTTACAGTATTGTCGCTCGTCTTGTAGAATTACAGTATATAGGGGGCCTTTCAAATATTACGTAAGCAGATTTATTACAAGCCCTATGGCTTTAAATAATCTTTAAAGCCGGGAATCGAACCCATCACAGAACACTAACACCCTGTAGTTTTATGACCAATTAACGGAGTCAATCTTAAGAAATACTCGCGAGTGCCTAAACCAGTGGTCGCCAACCTGTCGATCGCGAGCTACCGGTAGCTCGCGGAGGCAATTCTGGTAGCTCTCACAACGATTTTAATTTAAAAAATACAAACTGCAAAATCAGAGAAGCTTCCGAAAATTCCACAAAAAAATCTAATTGTCATAATATTAAATATAAACAGCGGCAACGTTGCGGTGAGCAATCTGCCGCTGACGCCGCATCAAGCTAGAATCGGCTAGAACCGACCAGCCGGACCAGCGCGTTAGTGTTCGAGAACGATCAGAATTGCTTTGAACAGGATAAATACGCACGGCGCGGCGACATTGCGCTTAGTTTAAAACTGAACGCGTAACCAACGTCCAGCGGTTGGGTTAGTAGAGAACAACAAAAAATAATATTATGGCAAGCAGTTGTAAGAAGGTAAAGACATACCACTTTCATTCGGAATGGGAAGAATAATACTTTTTTACAGAAGTTAAAGATAAAAATGTGTGTTTGTTATGTAATACTTCGGTCTCCTTTGCTAAAAAAGGAAATGTTGAGATAAAACTGTACATTCTAATTTTGAAAAATCATTCCCACTACATTCTGCCGCCAGAAAGGAGAAACTGAAACAGTTAATTGGACAACAATCAATATTTTTAAGAACAGTCGACAAAAATAAGGCTGCAACTGAAGCATCGTACCGTGTGTTCCAGATAATTGCACAAAAAAAGAAACCTTATTTATTTATTCATTAAAAACCCAAACAGGTTTTACAACCTTTTTATAAGGGTAGTAAGTACAATAAATATAATATTAATAAATGTTATAAATATATAGTAGTACATGGTCTCGTTAATTATAATAATTACTTAAACTAATAAAGAAAAAATAAATCCTTTTTATTAAACTATAAGAAATAATGCACCCTAAAAAACAAGAAAATGAAAAAAGAAAAAAAAAACACAAGAACGACATATTATATATTTTTTTACATACTAAAATCTGCTATATATTCATTAATTATTTTTTTATACCTTTCAGGTGGTAGTGTCCAATCAATGTCTTTAATATTGTGTATCACATTTGCTAGTTTTAACATGGACTCAAGAGGGGAACAAACTGTCTGCCTTAATTTTCCAAACAAGAGTGGATATCTAGTAAACCCCTTATGAAGACGGGGAAATGATAAAACAGGCGTTTTTAGAAGCTGCTGATTCGTTATTTGCCAACTTTAGAAATAAAGACGAGATAGTTTCAGCTATCAAATCTATGCAACTTTCTGCTAATACAGTGATGAGACGTGTAGAAGTAATGAGCAATGATATTTTTTTACAGTTAAGAACTGACTTAGATAACTGTGTTTATTTTTCACTTCAACTGGATGAATCAACAGATGTCGTTGACACTGCCCAGATGGTCGTGTTCGTCAGGATAGTTTTTAGTGATTTTACGATTAAAGAAGATCTTTTGAAGTTTATTCCACTGAAAGGACACACTACTAGACAGGAGTTGTTTTCTCATTTAAAAAATATTATTTCTTCCGAGAAAATTCCAATATCGAAAATGGTAGGCTTGACAACCGATGGCGCTCCAGCTATGGTGGGTTGTGATAAGGATCTGGTGGCGTTATGCCGTAAAGATGAAACTTTTCCGCAATTTCTCTGTTACCACTGCATTATCCATCAGCAAGCATTATTTGGAAATTTCCTGAAACTAAACAACGTTATGAAACTGGTGGTAAAAATTGTGAACAAGATTAGAGCTCAAGCGTTACAAAGAAGATT